CCGATTCTTGGGTTAACCAGACCGGATCAGAAACCGCTCACCCCTAGTATAGATCATGAAAGCGTTATTAATCGATTGATTATCTAGATTCGAGGCTACTACCAGAAAAATTGCACATATTTAGGGAAATTGATGAATATTTACTTGTCATGAGATTGAAGGAGATTTCGTTGAATCGTAAATTCTTAAAGATATGATTAGCTTTAATTAACATAGCTAGTCAAATAATTCTAGAGGGCATAGTGGGTCAGCTCAGCTGATAAGATTCGGTCTCTTTGCACCCCGAACTCAGGCTCGAATCCCGACCTACCAGGCCTGTGGCATGCCCTGATTGTGATTCGGGGAAACCTCCTCTTCTCCTAAAATTTGTAATTATTAAAGAAAGAGAGCGAAAGGGGAGGATTGTGTACAAGACACGTCATCGACGTCAATGCGAAAACGAAAGATTCTCGACCATTTGGGATGGCCACGTTTTGGGACATCGTTCGTTTAAAGGCATATGAAAAGCGACAACAGATCAATATGCTGATGACAACCGTGGGCCTGTGGCAGGCGCGACCATCATTATCAAACTAGTGCAACGCAGTTTTCCAACTCCCATAGATAATAGATTATGTAAGAACTCGCGCGACTTACGTGTAGCTTCTTCGGTGGGTTTGACTTGACCTTCGTTCCTTTCGTTTACTTTTTGTTTTTTTGAGGCGGGGGGGATAAATGACTTTGATCAGTGGTGGCCTTCGACTGTTCTTCTCCTTTCTTTATTCCTCTTGTGCTGGCGAGAAACCATTTGAGATGATGGACAAAATTGCTCCTTTGTTCCATCCTCACTTGCTCCTTTCTTGATGAGCTGTTTGATCAGTGCCTGTTGATTTTCCCTCCTTTTCTCTAGCTCTGGTGGAAGCAAATCGAAGGTGTCAAATCGATTGAGGAGGTTGGCTAGGCAAAAAGCATGACTTGCAACTATCTCTACCCAAAAAGAGGACACGAACCATCCCTAGCAAGGTTCAAATTGAGCATGTTTTAGCTCAGCTTTAGGTTACGTAAGTTGGAGCTTGGGTTGATTGGCAAGTTTGCTATCAATCTACTCTTCTGGCATGAGCACGACCCAAAGAGATTCCTTGGTTTCCTATTGGGGATTATGTTCTTTTTATCTACATATGGTTTTTATGCTACATCTGTCTGTAAATCCCAGTTCAAATGGTGAAAGGGGGAAAGCAACCAACAAATGATCAAATTTAGCCTTCGTTTCGTTTTTGTTTCGTCGTTTCGAATTGAGATCCGTTAACCAACTAGTCGTTCTTGTATAATGAAGGCTAGACTTTCATAATCATCAAGATTGTAGAACAACAGAACTCGAAAATCACGAAAAGTCACTAGTGAAGACAAATGTTGATGCATCATAGATACCGCCTACCACGAGTAGTTTCACGTCACGGACAAAAGAAGTCTCCTAGGGGGTTTGTTAGTGGGACTGGTGATGCTTAAGTCATTAAATATATTAGGGTATGCATCGGTTATGGTCAAGCCTAGAAATTGGACCGGTTGATTCTGGCTCGTTTCGGCAAGAATCGGTCCGGTTCCCGGTTTCTAGGGAGGAACCGTACCGACCAAACCGAACTAGGTGAAAGTATATATAAACATATATATATTCTTTATTCTTTTATAGTACAAACCATAAAAAAAATTCAAGATAAAGTATTTATAAATAAATAAATAACACTATCGGTTCCCCGGACAACCCGAGAACCGGACGTTTGACCCAGTTGGTCTGGTCCGGTCTGATTCCTGGGTGAACGAGGTCGATTCCCGATTCTACAGACGGGAAACCGACCCTGTCCGATCCGGTTTCCAGTTTCAGGATGGGAATCAACTTACCCTGAAACTGATCACCCCTGAATATCATGGTGATAAGAACAAGGGAGAGATAAGAACAAGAGAGAGAGTATACGATAGAATTTGTGCTTCATAGGCAGGATCAAGCCTTCACTCAATGATGCCTCGTACCTGTATATAAAAAAGGGGCATCATCATATCATGGACTTGGTTAATGGGCCTCGCGATGGGCTCGTCAACCGTACGAGCATTGCACAACACCATGGGCCTACTTTCTCAGGCATTCGGCCATATCAATTAGCAACCCCGTCTCTATGCCGAAACAAATGGTTCGGTCTAGGAAGTAGACACGAGCCATGTGGCTCGTGTTACGCCTCTGAGAATTTCCCGGTTTCGACACGGGCTCGTGTTATAACTTCTCTGAATCGTGCCCCGGAAGGCTAAAAAGCAAAAGATAAAGTAGTAGACCAAATGCCTACCCCAATTATCACCCCCGTATTAACTTGTAATCGGCGCAATAGACAGGTAGATTCGCAAATTAAGCTTGTTAGTTCCCTCCAAATGCATCTAGACACACGTCGTCTGTCGTACTATTAAGTGACATAAGTTTAAACCCTCGCCAGGGGCCGGCGAGGGCGGCCCTCGAGTAAAGAATGATGGCGCCTCAAGTAAAAGAATTCTGGGTTTCCATCAATCCATAGCTTAAACGACATAGTTTAAGCTCGAAATAGCTGCTCTGATTTGAGGAAGTTGGCCACCCAAATTCATGTGTTGGACAAGTTTGACCGGAGGCAGTCCCGTTTGGAGTCTAAGGTCAGGCCAGGCCAGGCCCGTCCTGACCTGGCCTGATTGTAAGGCCCAAGTGTCGGAAACGATCAAAGTCCTCCTGTCAACTGTCAAGCATCGCGGACACTTTGAATGATTGCTAGAAACATACAAAATGTAGCACCGTGACGTGTCCGAGGTTTGGATTATTGCTAGAAAACATCCAAAATGATAGAGGTTTGTTTATGCCGGGAGCACATTCCTCGTCATCCGCTCAAAACCTGCATTTAAATCGCAATAATTAGAGACATATGTAAAAGGAGAAAAATTACTAACCTTCAAATTTAATCATTAATCTTTTGACAATTTTAAATTTAGTCACCGAAATCGCTAACGTGACAGTCTAACCAATTGTCTCCTACATAGCATGATCGGTGTAGATGTGGACAATTTTTGCAATTTTCTCTAAATTTTTATTTTTATTTTTATTTTATCTTTTCTTTTCTTTTCTTTTTCCAAACTCCGGGCCGGCAAATATTGCAATTTTTAAAGGTTCAGGCATTTTTTGTTTTAAAAAAAGGGAAAATTCAAAATATATAGCTAATTTTTCATCCAATGAACAAAAACTGTTTGTGTTTCTTAAAATAGGGAAAATGACACAAACGGTATATGAACTTTGGCCCAATGTGTAATGTGGTCTATGAACTTTTAATTTGTTCAATGTCATCCATGAACTTTTAATTTGTTCAATGTCATCCATGAACTTTTGGGACATGTCCAATTCCCCTAGACTATATGAAAATGTTCAATGTAGTCCTTCCATTTATTCAAGTTCAGGAACTATATTGAACATTTTCATCTAATTCAGGGACTACATTGGATATGTACCAAAAGTCTAGGGACCACATTGAACATTAGACTAAAATTCATGGACTACATTGAAAAAATTAAAAAGTTCATTGATCATATTGCACATTGAATTAAAGTTCATGGATTGTCTGTATCCTTAAAATACTAGTATGCTATAGGGGTGTGCTGTGGGAACCATCCAAACCGAGAGCCGCCCTGTTCGGTCCGGTCCCTAGGTGTTCTAATTCTCGGTTCCAGAAACGGGGAACCGATCCTCTTGATCCGGTTCCAAATTCCTAAGTGGGATTGGACTGGACTGGGAATCGATCACTCCTGCTTCGAAAAGAATAAGTTGTGCCTTTTTGCAAATCTCAAACCATCAAACTCTCCCACTCCACCACGATATTTGCCATAGCCGACTCCCCCTCCCCTCTCGCCGTGAGACGCTAGATTTGGGCCTTGGCAGGGAGCTCCGAGCTTTAGCATCCGTGGCCATGAGCTTAAATTAGTGTGGCCATGGTGGCGAGCTCAAAGGAGACAGAGAAATGAGACGAGGAGAGAGACATAGCATACAATGGAGAGAGAGAGCTTCAATTATCAAAATCGAGGCCCTTATAAAAAATCAAAAATAGAAAAACTAAAAGTGATTCTGAATCGCGCCGTTAGTTTAGAGATATAATAATGCCATAAACAGTCTGTGAACTTTAGCCCAATGTACAATTAGTCTCCGAACTTTTAATTTGTTGAATGTATTCCCTAAACTTTAGCCTAATGTGCAATATGGTCTCTAAGCTTTCAATTTGTTCAATATGGTCTCTAAACTTTAACCCAATGTGCAATGTGGTCCCTAAACTTTTCGTATAGTTCATGGACTAAATTGAATTTATATCAAAAGTTCAGGGACGATATTGAATAAATGAAAAATTTAGGGATCACATTACATATTGGGTTAAAATTTAGGCATTATTTATTTCATTTTTCCTAGGTACTACTCTACCGAGACTTATGTACACCGCCGCACCTTTTCCACGTTCATTCTCCCAAGGTGGGGAACGAGGTTCCGGCATAATGAATGTTTCATTGTTCGTCGTGTTCTGCCTTTTTTTAAAAAAATTAAATAATAATAATAATAATAAAAAAGAGCACGGAAGCAAAATGCCAAAACGGGGAGCAGAAAGAAACAAATCTTTAATTTCCGAAAAAGAAAATAAAGAATAAGTGTGTCACGTATCCTAAAACTTGTCACGAAAAATATAATCGAATTTTAAAGATTTTTACCAAAATGCAACCGAATCTTAAATTTTATCACGAAAATATAATCGAATCCTATAATTTTTAAAAAGTACAATCAATAAAAGGATCTGACCGGACTAATCCGACAAATTGTGGGATTCGATTGCGTATTTCGATAGTGTTATCACTCAATTTACGCTATGGTGACAAATTTTAAGATTGAATTTCATTTTTTGAAAGTTCGTGTACTCAATTGTAATTTTTTAGAAACAGCGTGCCGATGCGCAGTTGAGTCGGTGTCACTGTTACTGTAGAACCGCAGTCATCATCGTCTCTTTTATTTATCTCTCTCTCTCTCTCTCCCTCGCACGCTCGTTCGTTCGCTCGCTCGCTCGCTCACTCTCCAGTTCCGCCGCTCTCAGATCTCTCCCCTCCGATCGGATCCGATCCCGCCGTCGAGGCCCCCCAAGGTAAACCCGTCCCCCGAGCTCGCGCATGCGCGTAACCCTAGATCTCGGTCCGCCGTGGACGGTAGATTCGCCGCCCTGAAAGTCTCCCTCCCTCCGCCGTTCACCGATTCGATCTCGCGTCCTCGGTGCGCGTCCGCCGGCGGCGTCGCGCCGAATTGTCAGCGTCCGCTTCGGCGAGACGCGTCTCTCGCTTGGCGGATCTGCTGGCGGTGTCGCCGTTGCTTTCTCGTGTGTGTTTCTTCTCTCTTTCGCTCGGCAAGAGTGTTTTTTTTTTTTTTTTTGCGATCGAGACTTTTCTGCTGCTCGAAGGGCGTGTAGCTTTCGAAATGTTGTGTGTCGCCGTGCTCCGGAAGAGGTTTGGTGGGGGTGGGGGGGGGGGGGGGATCGTTTCGCCCTTTTTTGAGGTTCTACGAGGCTTGTGATCAGCGATTGTGTTGCCGTCGCGTTTATTTGGTGTTGTGTGATGTTCGAAGCGTACGTGATTAGCCATCATCCGCATTAGGTGGCGCTTGGGCGTACGGATGTGTCTCCTTTAGACCTACAACAAATGGCCTTTGATAGTTTAGAAAGGTTGTGGATCTAGAATTGTTATAGTCCCCGCTTTTGGCCTGGATATGAGTTAACTGAGTTGTCCTCCAAATCTTTGATTTGTTGTAGTACGAAATTCGCGGAAGAAGAAGAGGGAGTAAATTTGTTGCGAAGATGGTGAAGTAGAAATGTATAGTTCCCCAGTACATTTCTATACATTGATCAACCCTATGTATCCCGGGACATTGTTCGTACGTGTGTTTGGAAACTTGAATTCCTGAAAGGAACTTCTTTGCTTTTCCTTCTAATATCTGGTGGAAAATTTGCTCTTATTTTTGCTACTCGTTCTTTGTTCATTGTAAGACTCTCTGTCTCTCTGCCTGTAGGTTAAGTGTGCTACAGCATTTGCTCTGTTTTATCGATCATGGAAAAACTTGCGACTGATTGAAAACTTCTGCTAAAGATGTGTTTTCCAGTTTACTCTTTATACTTTATGCTTATTTTCCAAGCTGCACGTCAACTTTTTGCACGGAGTTCTATCATATGGATTTAAACGGAACAGACCGAGTTTGTCCTTATGGTTTTTAATTTGTAGTTTTTTCGAAGTCAAAAGTGTTCGAGTTCTCTGGATCTAAACTAAACATCTTCTCCATTCATCTCTTGATTATTCTGGCCATTGAAATTCACTTCGCAGTGTTGAAAATTTCTTTAAGAAGAGGAACGTATTTAGTTTTGACTTTAAAATTCATCTTTGCTCTAAAATTTGCAGCTTGAGTTTCACGATTGAAGGAATTATTCGTGAGCTTTGCTTCCAGATTCCGTAACTTGTTTTCTGCACATAGATGTGTTGCTTGAGCAAGGTGCTTAAATGAGGGAATAGAAACTTTTACTTTTTGTCACATGAGATCCTTGGATTATTACAATGTTCTTGATCTTTTCTCTTGCAGTCACCCGTCGTCACGTACCTAGGCCATTTTCTCCCATCATTGTTTTCCATGGATACTTTAGCAATTATATACCATGACAGAAAACTAATGTACGACTAGGATTTTCTGTGCATGTTAGTAAGATATAGTGAGTATTCCGGGTGTTTGTGCCTTTCTGCCCTTTTGCTTTAGCTTTTAAGATTTGTATTTTATTTGACATGAACAAATCACATCTTGAACAAATAAAATAGCATTTAAGCTCATGTAGAATCTGTGACAAGAAGCCAGGGGAGACATCCTAAAGGAGTTTCTTTCTTTCTTGTGAAAGTAGTTTGGTAGTTTCTTGTTTATGGTAACTCTAATCATGATTTGACTGAGTTTGATTCCTGAAGTCAGTAAGCAGAGGAAAGCACCCTCAGTTGAAACATATTTTGTCTAATAACAGGAGAGCGCTGTCACATGATCTTATGTTGGTAATTGTCAGATGTTCTCTTTATGGCAGTGATAATTGCCACTTCATTTGAGTCAGGGAAGGATTTAACTCTGTGCATGTACAAGGATGAATTGACAGTTTGTGAACGGAAAAACAGATGAAAATTTGTATTACTTGTTTAATGGCGCTTTGAAACCACTAGTGTTCGTGTTGGTTCACTGTTTTATGTTGGCATGTTTCTTCGATTCCATTCCATCCCATGTTCAGCTCTAGAGATATCTGTAGGTATGGTTGATTGATCTTTTCCACAATTCCTCTTGATCTTCCGCTGCTTTTCCTCTTTTTACTTGTCCTTGTATCCAGGCAAGTAGGCACAATGGGTCGTGGAGTTAGCAGTGGTGGAGGACAGAGTTCTTTGGGCTACCTTTTTGGTAGTGGAGAGGCTCCAAAAGCAGCTGCAAGCAGTCACCAGACTGCTCCGACTGAGGTGGACAATCCACCTCCCTCAAAACCTGTGGCTGTTTCTCCTCCAGTAGATCCTACCAAGCAGATTCCTGCTGGAATCCATAGTACTTCGTCAAACAACTACCTGAGAGCTGATGGTCAGAACACTGGCAACTTCCTCACGGTAAATTTGTAGCCATGGCAGCTTTGTCATTCAGCATTTAACAGGATAACTGTTTTAGCAATTTTAGTGAGTGTTTGCCAACCAAAGTCTTATACCTGGAGAGATAATTGGGAGGATTATTCCCATGTAATACAGGTAACTCACAGAAGTTTTTGTCACTATGATATTTAAACTGCCATATTATTATAACTCACGTTCTGCTTGCTTTTTGAGGGAAGTTATATCGTTTAATTAATTGTGATATCACTATCGCTTGATATTCTTCTCATTTGTAGAGTGGAGTCCTTTTGCTAGTGAACTGTAGGAGAGTATCGTTGGAGGGTGCAACCGTTTTTGCTAACAAGAATCAAGAACATTACCTTTGATTCTTTTACTGCCTGTGGAATTTATTTGATTGCATGTGAAACATGTCTCCTATGTTGTGCGAAAATGCAAAACTTGTAAGTTTGTTTGCTGTCGTCCACATGATGTTAATACTTAATGTCAGCTTGCTCATTCTTTAGCATGGTCAAGTCAAAATTCTTCAGTTAGTTTTATGCAAAAATTAAGGGTGCATTCTTAAGGTACAAGGAGAGAAAATTTTTGCCATAAGGAATACAAGGATGTGATTGGGATTGTGTGCCTACTTTTTTTTTTTATCAATTCTGAGTTGTATTAGGAGTCTTAACTGACAAAGGTTTAGACTTGGTTTTATCCAATCAAAATCCTTTTTGGAGTTTCTTGGTTCTGTTTCTTAGGCTGTGTGCTCTGAGAAGTGGCCAATCGTTCCTCTTTTCGCACAGATGTTACAAGCTCAAAAGTTTAATCCTTCTTCAACTTTCTTTTGCCATGATTAAATTGTATTGGGATAATTTTTTTAACTCAGTGAGGTCCTCTTGTTTGAAACTCTTTCTCATCAGTACAGGTTTGAGCTGGTACTGGATGACATTGTCGGTAGATGGCAAAGTCTGGTTGTAGATCCGCATGTTCATTTTTTGGAAGTGAACAATTTTGTAGGGCAGCAATCACGGGATCATAAATTACGTCGAGAAGTCCAAAGTTTGACCTCGATGTTCTCTAATTTCTTAGATATATGTAACTGAAATGATCATTTTCGAAAGATATTCAATCACACTAATGTGTTCATATGGATGCTGCTTTCTCTCCCTTCAATTAACCAGACCCTTCCTCACATGCATGGCCCTTTTTTAAAAGGATGCTGTTAGAGGAACTTATTAATTCACGAAGTGTCCGAAGAGGCAATGTAGGACATCATTGATGGTAGTCTAGAGATAAAAATCACACCATTGAATGTTTTAGGATCCATGCATCCAATGGAGGAAGGTAAGCCCTTGATATTGTGCGGACTTTGGTTTCTCATTTATGGGTAGAGAATAAAATATATCATATTGTCATTTATTCTAGAACGTTGTTTCATGAGATAGAGCTGTGTTGCCATGTGTATTCTTTGTGAGAGACACCTGCTAAATGTTGTGGTCCTTTGACCACCCCCAAGCAGATTAATGCCCATTTCTTACAATCCCCCAGGGTAGTCGTCTCCCGAGGATTTTTTCTGGTTGCCTATGGATTGTCCTGATACCTTGTAAGATATGGGCAAATTCTTGCCTGGACCCGGATCCACAAAGACCATGTTCATCATGGCAAGTGATCCTTTGTGCCTCTCGTGTGGGTCTCAATCCCAATAATCAAATGCCGTGATTGCCTTAGGTCCATGAACCAGGGTCCATGTAGAAGTTTGTTGATAGGGCATGTCGTGCTGATGCTTCAAGCTTCAAGCAGCGTGCAAGAATGTCAGATTCTCCTGTACTTATAACACTTTTCCTTCTCTTGTTGATCAAACCTGCTGTCAATGGCCTTCTTTAATAGTTTCATGAGATCATAGATCATTTCCACTGTACTGTTGTCAAGAAACCTTGTGGCTTGCTGGACTCTGTCAATCAGGTATCAGAAGAATCCGGAATGTCATGGGATCGACATGTTAGCTTGTTCTGTGAAGTATATTGTGTAGGGTTTGAAACATTAGCCGGCACATGAGGTTTTTTCCTGAATATTTTGTGTAATTTTGATGAGGTGGGAAGAAAGGTTTTGGACATAACAATTCTGCTTTGCCTTCTAGGGCTAAATTGTCGTTAAATGACTGCTCATCTGACTTTTGTTCAGCATGGATTTATCCAGTCCATTGATGACCCGAGTTATACGTGCAGGATCGACCCTCGACCAAGGTCCACGCTGCACCTGGGGGTGGATCATCTCTGGATTACCTTTTCGGTGGTGGAGGTAAGTGAGTCCGGACAGGCCTTTGCGCATGTCTCCTGAATCGAAGGTTACCGCTGAAAAGATCCAAGTGGAGCCCGTGACTTCGGACAACCGAGTGCTTTTATTGTTTTGTGATCTGAATACTGAAACACTTTACTGCATCAATTTGTGTAATATGTTTGATGTGCTGGCTGTTCATTGTTGGACTCCAATTTGAAGCACCATATCAGCTTCCGCAGCAGATGCATATACGTCTGCTGCGAATCTTGATATCAACAGAACTTGTTTTCTTCAATCCATTGATTTTTGCATCTTGCGACTTTGCCCCGTTTCTCCTGTTGTTGCTGCACATTAGTATGGGGACGTTGCTGCTTAAACCAATCTACTAGGATTTGATGGTCGAATATGGAAATATTGAGAAATTTGAAAGTGAAAGAATTGTTCTCAATTATAATAAGATATATCGAGAAATTTACGTATGATTTGTCATTTAATTATTTGACGTTTTTATGCAAAAGGTGGCACGAAGGAAATATTTCGAACTCACATTTTTCACTTCTAAGGTGGATGCTTCTTCTAACAGGGTGTTGTTTTATGGGGAAAATTTCTCTGAAGCTGAATGAAATGTGTATATTTGTTCTTTACTCATCTTTTGCATTCACGAAATAAATAAAATAAGAAGGGTAGCCTTTTCAGTAGATTAAACAAGCATTTGATGATAATTGAATCTTAGTATTTTTGTGATAAATATGTCTGATATTGTAGTAAAATGATTGGCTACGTTCTAAATATATCTCGAGTAATAAAATATTACAAAAGTCTCCTTTCATAATCAATATATCTCACATGTGAAAAAAATACATATCTCGGAACATGTGCCACGGGCGTGGTAAAAAAGCTCGGTTTATGACAGAAGACTAGTTTGAGTCATTCGGATTGTTGCAAATCACACAAGTCATGGTACAATTTTATGTAGGCTTTTTTGCTAATTTCCCTATTTTAGTAACACTAATTTTGATTGGCTGTGTTCTCGTGCTTGCTTGTCTTTCTCAAACTTCAAACTTGGAGCGAGTGAATCGCGGATTAACTTGTGTTCGTGGGCTCTCTGCTAAATCGTGTAGAGAGTCAACTCCTTTACTTGAAATCTCAAGTTTGTATTAAATAGTTAAAACTCAAATTAAATTTTTTGTCGTAGATATAAGGTCTTTACGCAATAGTATGTACCTCGACTTTCTCGCTCCCAGGGAGGTCTCTAGGTCTCTTGGTGGAAGGAACATGTGGTTCATCAGTAGACCCTCTAAGGGCTGGGAGAACATTCTCCGCGTGCTCCAGAGGGATTCGAACTTGGGTGTGATACGCGGAGAGATCAAACTTTACCAGCCGACTCAACCCAATTTGGTCCCGAAGTTAAAAATTTGGATGTTTCAATAAAAAATTGGGAAATTTTCAATTTGGGGTCCAAAGTGAGCCCATTTTCTCAAAATAGGGTTTCAAGTGCAATCAGTCTCAAAATGGAATCCCAAGTGCCCAATCAGTCTCAATTTGGTACCTGAGTTCGCCGGCCGGCCAAATAGTCACCGGCGGCGAGTTTTTTACTGTTCCGGTGGCCGGAACAGTAATTTTTTACTTTTTAAATTGTTTTTTTTTTTCTTTTTTTTTTTTTTTCTCTATGGCCGGCGGAGGCTGCCCTCGCTAGCGTCGGGGAGGGCCGCCCCGGCGAGGGCCGCCCAGCCTTCCCCGACGGCCCTCGCCCGACGCTGCAGGCGAGGGCGACCCTTGCCCTCGCTGACGTCGGGGAAGGCTGGGCGGCCCTTGCCCGATGCCGACGAGGGCAACCCTCGCTGGGCGGGCGGGGCGACCCTCGCCGGCATCGGGGCGAGGGCCGCCTCGCCTCGGGCTGAGGCGGTCGAGGCCGCCTCGCCTCGGCCTGGGCGGGCGAGGGCGACCCTTGCCCTCGCCGGCGTCGGGGAAGGCAGGCGGCCCTCGCCCGGCGCCGACGAGGGCGACCCTCGCCAGATCCCACTCAGCCTCCTCAGCTCCTCCTCCGACAGCCTCAGCTCCGCTAGCATGGGCGCCGCAGCCCCCTTCTCTTCCCACCTCCTCCTCTCCCTCTCCAGTTCCCTCTCCTTCCTCACCTTCCGCCTCAGCTCGCCGTACCTCTCCACGAAGCTGCCCGAGCCGGGCTCGGGGACGGGGTTCTCAGGTGTGCTCTAGCTCCTGTCGATCGTGTGGCCGACACGGTGCCCTCGCCGGATCTAGCGAGAGTCGCCAGGTCTAGCGAGGGTCGCCGTCGCTAGCGTCGGGCGAGGGCCGCCCAGCCTTTCCCGACGTCGGCGAGAGCAACCCTCGCTTGGGCAGGCGAGGGTCGGCCCTCGCCCGCCCAGCCGAGGCGAGGGCGGCCCTCGCCTGCCCAGGCGAGGGTTGCCCTCGCCGGCGTCGGGCGAGGGCCGCCCAGCCTTCCCCGACGTCGGCGAGGGCAAGGGTCGCCCTCGCCGACGCCGGCGAGGGCAACCCTCGCCTGCGGCGTCGGGCGAGGGCCGTCGGGGAAGGCTGGGCGGCCCTCGCCGGGGTGGCCCTCCCCAACGCTGGCGAGGGCAGCCTCCGCCGGCCATAGAGAAAAAAAAAAGCAAAAAAAAAAATTAAAAAGTAAAAATTACTGTTCCAGCCACCTGAACAGTAAAAAACTCGCCGCCGGTGACTATTTGGCCGGCCGGCGAACCCAGGTACCAAATTGAGACTGATTGGGCACTTGGGACCCCATTTTGAGACTGATTGCACTTGAGACCCCATTTTGAGAAAATGGGCTCACTTTGGGTCCAAAATTGAAAATTTCCCTAAAAAATTGCAGCTCCAAGTAGATTTCAAATTTTGACCAAAAAAAAAAACAGTAGATTTCAATTGGATGACAAAATCCCGACCAAAAAAAAAAAAGATGACAAAATAATTTCCGTTTATCAAAAAAAAAGCAAAATCATTTTTCCATCTTTCTGACGCTGGCGCTTCTTCCTCTCTTCCCCCTCATAACAACAGTTCGAGTCCTCCTCCCTCAGGCTGGCTTCGATCTCGATCGTTCTCGGTTTCGGCCGCCCTCGGTTGCCGGCGATTCTCTAGGGTTTCTGGCGAGTTGCCTTCCGGCCCCATCCCGTGCGGGTGGGTTCACCGATCAGGTAAGCTTCGGGGGGGCGGGGGGGGGGGACGCAAAGTTTCTCGGTGTTGGGAAAGAGGGGGTTCTCCGCTTTGCGGCTGCGGAAATGCGCGGTCCAACATTGATGGCCTGCGGCTTCGCTTCTGTTAGAATTTCGTTCCCTTGGTCTGATTTAGGGAGGTGAATCGAACGATCTGGGATGATTAGCGCGCCGGCGATGTGGGTTGTGTCGATTGAATGGATTGGTTGATGGGGGGAACGAGTTCGTTTTTAGGGGGAAAAAGGGTTAGCTTTTGAGCATCTCTTGTGCCTGGGATTGTGCAGAGATTAGGCTATTGCGGTCATTGACCACCCCAGGCTGGTGCCTCGGTTACTTTGAGCTGGTGCTCCAGCGTAGTGAACATATGTTTTTAAGCTAAGATTGTTAGTTTGAATGATCTGATTTTGCCCGGAAAATTTCCATAATGTTGCCCGGGTCGGGAGGCGGATTGTGTTCCGCGCTCTGGCTCGATGGACCCGAGCCAGGGCGCCGGGAGGCACAGGCACGGAGTCTGGCGTTCGGCCTTGATGGACCCGGGTCCGCAGAGGCCAGGTTTGAGACCAAGCATTGGAAATGCATGTCTATTTAGAAGAAAATATTATTTTCCTTTCCAAATGACAGAAAATATTGTCCTTTTCATTTTCAGGTATCAGCCAAATACCGGAAAATATGGTCATTTTCCAGAAAATGTCTTCCTAGAATTTTTTTTTCAGAACTGTCACAAATTCGGAGCCTAGCGTAACTACTTTTTCCCAGTGTTATTCCTTGGAGTAACTTTTCCTTTCCACAAGCAAACTTGGATGTGAAGTTCTATATCAATTGCAAGTAATTAATTTCTTCACTAAAGGTATCTTTTAGTGAAAAATGACAATAAATGTAGACTAAAATTACAGTCACATATTTGATATTCTTGTGTATAGATTAAAGGGTTCACTGGCACTTTGATTTATCTTTGTAGATCTTTCAAGTTGGACGTTGTGGCATCTTGTATTGTTTATTTATGTAGTGTGGCTGCCTCGGTTTTGAATCTATTAATCTATTGCTTTTTTAGTGGCGGCACTAGTTGAAAGTATGTCCTTGTCGGTCTATCTTGTATTTTTCCAAGCATCATTGAGAACATTTTCTGAGGTTTTGGATCATATAAATGAGTTTTTGTTTGTCATTGGATTGATAGATAATTAGAGCGAGCCATGATAGGAGGTGCTCGCGTCCGCCTCAATAGGTGGCAGCAAGCAGCAGTTGCTGTAGGTTCGGCTATGGGTGCATTGCTTGACCCTCGAAGAGCAGATCTTATAGCGGCTCTTGGTGAGACGACTGGCAAGCCTGCTTTTGAGAGAGTCCTTGAGAGGATGAAGAGGAGTCCGGAAGGCAGAGTAAGTTTCTTAATTCATCTCAACTGTTTTTTTACTCTTAGTATATGTATTTTGGTTTTTATATGCAATTAAATGCAAAAGAAGAAATTATTAAACATGAATGATTACTTGTAAGCCTGACACTGTACATGGGATGTGCAGTATTTTTGGTGAGAAACTATTCCTTGGTTAAATTATAGATAACTAATCGCATGTTAGTGATCCAGATATTCTGAGTTTTATTTGTCTTATGGCATGTCTTCGGTGACTATTCTTTTGGCTTGCTTTTGCTGTCCCTTATGTTGAATGACCTTAGCATTCTGCAAGCGTATAGTGCCAGAAGAACACTGTCCGAGATTCTTTACATGATTTTTGGGCTGTTTCCTTCAGATGTCTTAGCATACCTAGTTATGTTCTGTACATGCTGAACTTGTTGAACTTGTGCTGATCCGCGTTGAGTTGCAACTTTCCAACATTCCAAAATTGTACTTATAACAGTCATGTAATAATGATTTTTGTCTTTTCAGCATTAGAGTGTCCGACTAAAAACATTCTTTAGTCTTAGAGGGCATCTAGCCAGAAATGAAATGTCATTGCGGGTTTTTTCTCATTGACGCTGGAACTTCGCACTTACCTCTACAGGTTCTCTTAAAACTTAACTCAGTAGCATTTTTGTCAGAACACAACCTGCATTATACTCTGAGGACGAGTATGTCTGATGTGTCTCTGCTCTGCATTTTCTCTATTGCATGAGCTGGCCAGTAACTAAACCCATGTTCAAGCAATTGATCTTGTCGTATATATTGGGCACCTACCTTGCTAAGAAAATCAAATGGGATCCTTTAAGTTAGTGATATGTTTGTATCGTCATCTTAAACATTACTTCCTACAGCTTAGTAACAAGCCATCCGGTGTCAAGAGTTTTTTTTTTACTCGAGAAATCATTTATTTTATTGAGTCTGCCTTTCGTTTCTGAACTGCAATTAGATAAAATCCTGTTTTGGCAGGCGATTCTATTGGACCGACCACGAGTAATATCTACCGAGGTCAGTCATGCGTGGGACCTACCAGAGAATACATTTGGTGCTGCATATGCCAGGTTTATGGGATCTAGGAACTTTTCCCCAGATGACCGGCCACCTGTGCGGTTCATGGAGACCGATGAATTGGCATATGTGGCCATGCGGGCTCGAGAGGTGCACGACTTTTGGCACACTTTGTTTGGTCTCCCAACTAATTTAATAGGCGAGTCAGCTCTTAAGGTGATAGAGTTCGAGCAGATGTACCTGCCTATGTGCCTCCTATCTGTTTTAGGAGGCACAGCGAGATTCAATGAGAAGCAAAGGGCTTTATTCTTCCAGCATTACTTCCCATGGGCTGTTCAGGCGGGTATGAGGTGCACGGACCTCATGTGTCTATATTATGAACGGCACTTCCACGAGGATTTGGAAGACGTTCGAAGGAGATGGGGAATAGTTCCTGCACCTGCTGTGCCTAAATAAAGTGCTGTCTAAACTTTCCGCAATTCTCACTACGTGCGTCGGCATAGACTGAAGTGATTAGTGACAGGCGTACCTCGAGCCTCTGCGCGAGATTTTGTTCCCTTCGACTCTCTGAATCACCTTGTGCTTTTATTGTTTAACAGAAAACTGAACCCAAGGGGTTTCGTTATCAGGACCTACGGTCCTTTTCCCTTTTCTGCATAGCAATTCGGGTGCGGCTTGCAATTTGTACAGGGACAATGACCCAAATGCGGCACTTTCTTGTCTGTGTTTCTTCTCCTTCGGCTCTTGTACCGTTATAGAATCCAAAATTCGAGTAGAAAGGATTCTTTCGAAGAACATTTTGTATGTACTCCAATCCTCTCGACGATGGTCGACGAAGCAATGACCACGGACGGAAAACGGAAGGAAAACATGAATTGCATGTGAATTAGTCGTGTAAAGTCAAACTTTTTGGCGAGGAACACTGGTATGGTATGTGATGAAACTGAACCAAATTTCAGAATTCGGGAACCAAATTGAACGGCGGTAAAAGCAGATGGTTTAATTTTGACATTTCACTTGAAAATGTATGTGTGTGGAAATGATATCATTGATATGCGATGTCCCCTGCTTTGCTAAAGTGAGAAGTCACGCCTCCCCAAAAGTCAGCAACGAGACGAATTGGAGACTGTTTTGTGTACATATACATAATGCAATTTGAACGGGAAGGTTAGGTTGGCGCCAAGAGACTTTCGTTGGTCGGAGAAGCTTCTTCGTCTTGCTTTGCTCCATTCGATCCGGTGGCCCCTTTTATCCTGGAGCTGTGATCCCAGATTGTTCCCGTCGTTCGGATCATCCGAAACGTCCGGCGAAGGGAAGGGACTCCGACCTCGGAGTCGCCCAAATCCATCACTTTCATTCATTCACGCTTGCTCTTTCAAGAAGAAGACGACGACGAAGAAGAAGCAGAAGCAGCAGCAGCAGCTCAACGGCGCTGCCGGTCTTCACATCCCTCCTACTCATGAGATCCCTGTTCCGTCTCCCCGCACCTTCCGTTTGTGATTTCCCCAGAATCTTCTCCCTCGCCGCCTCTCTCACGTTCTCTCTCCTCCCCGCGCCCGCCACCTGCTCGACCCTTTGTCCGAACGAAGACCCACCTCAAGGCTCTGCCGAATTGCTCCGCCGGTGGGGCTGCAGCGACGATGACATCTCCAGGCTGTTCTCTCGCCGCCCTTCTCTCCGCAGGGCCAACCTCGCCCGGCTTCGCTCCAAGCTCCAGATACTGACCGACGTGGGCATCACCGGTCCCGACCTCGTCAAGGTCATCCACTGCCGCCCTCGCTTCCTCAGCTGCCGCATCAACCACCACCTCGATGACCGCCTCCAGTACTTCATCTCCCTCTTCGGCTCCAAGGAAGTCCTCCGCCGGGCCATCATTCGCAACCCTTCCATCCTCACCTACGATTTCCCCGGCAGGATTAAGGCCATTGTTGAGCTGTATGAGAAGACGGGCGTTAGCAAGGACGACTTGGTTCCCATGCTCATGTCTCGCCCGACTTTGATCCCCCGCACTTCTTTGGAGGATGAAAAGCTGGATTACATTCGCAGGACCGGGGTTCCCCAGAACTCCAAGTCTTATAAATATGTGGTGACCATCATGGCCATCTCCAGGCTGACCACAATCCGTGAAAAGGTGGCTAATTTGGAGAAGTTTGGGTTCTCAGAGGAGGAGGTGTTGGGTCTATTCGGTCGTTCCCCCTTTATGCTCACCTTCTCCATTGATAAGATCCAAAGGAACATGACTTTCATTCTTGGAATCATGAAGCTCCCCGCAAAGGTTATTTTCGAACACCCATTTCTCTTGCACTGTAATTTGGAGAACGTGCTGAGGCCGCGTGTTCTTCTTGCTGCCAAGATTCAGGACATGGGTCTCTCTCCTCAAATCCAAGGCCCGACCGTCTTCAGGGCTCTCAGGATGACGGAGAGGAGATTCTTAAAAGTATTTGTTGGGTGTCATACGGATGATGTTGCCAATGAGTTGATGGAGTTCTACAGCACTGTCAAAGGTGTCAAGCGATTGGCCGAAGCTTCGAAGAAGAACTATACCAGAGGATTCCCTTTCTGAAGGATTTCGATTTTGATGCCAGCGAACTCGAGACTTGAGAGAGTGTCACTTGCACAGAAATACCAAATTCTCGCTGTTTGATTATTTCAAAACAGAGCTCTAAAAATGAATTGTGGAAAGCTCACTGTACACTGCATCTCTTGCTCGCCCTTCCCCAGGTCCCTTTTTATTTCTCTATGGCAATTCATGTACCTTGCTTTGTTTCCATTGACAAGATCATAACTTTGTTGTGATTATCAAGAATTTTTTCTTTGAATCATTATACTGGTGCTTACTATTTGCACTCGACTCTGTCCTAATCTATCTGAAGATTAGTGGTAGGAATTTCCCAACTGTAGTTACACGTGCTCGCTAGATTTGTGGTTCCATTTACGTCTGGAAAGTCATTGCCTCCAGTTCAGTTGCTGCTTGTTGCTGTTTGCTAGCACATGTGCTCCTTGGATCCTGTTCTAAGTGATTGTCTGCTGTGCTGTTTTGCCTTTTTTTCCTTTGGCTCGCCAAATGATTTACCTTGGGAGTTCGAAAATTCATTTGATTCTGCTCAGCTGCATAAAGAAGGGGCTGGCGTGAGCTTGAACAGGGAAAAGCATGAATTAGCATTGGTAGGAAAATGGATATTTCTCTTATGGACCAGGATCATCCTGTTGAAAATGGTCCAATTCATTTTTATTCTCCCATGATGATTTTGGTCCGCCGCAAAATCCTGTATCCTTATCCCTGACGTTGGAGCTTTGCGTGCCTGGTAGCTGACAATCGACCTGGAGCTAGTCCTGTGACCCCTATGATATGATGGGGATTTTTCCAGAGATATGGATTCCAATCCGATCCTTTTTCTTTTTACCAGGGAATTAGGAACAATGGGTAGGTGGGACAAAAATCCAAGACTTACTGGTCTTAATACGGGTTGTTAATATTTGGCAAGACCGTTGTTCCCCCTTTAAATCAGATCCTTGTTGCCAAGCTCATTCTTCCCTAAAGGATTTTTTATGATGAGAAGTGAAAATTTTTGTTGTCCTTCCAAGTTCCTGCAGACTCATGTGGTTCTGAAGATGAACCAGGTTGCGTTCTTTGGGGAAATGGTGTGGTGGTTATACGAAGTTAAAAAAGTACGAAATATGGATCTGCGTGTAGAATCTGCTTGGGAAAGCTTTTGACATTAGCTCTCTTCAGAATTGGTACAGGAGGTAAGCCCTAATTGCCAATACCATACTTGATGGTGGTGGATCCCTTTTGTCATACCGTAGTGTAATTGTGAAAATTATGGTGCAGGCCTCTTTGATAAGACTCTGTTGTACAGCCTGTACCGACATCAATAGCATCTGGGACAAGTTATAATAATAGTCGCATAGACACGACACACTTTGGTGTCTGCATGCTTCGTCTTTTCACAATTACTTATGGGAGTATACAGTTTACATCTATCATTTGCTTTGGTGACACTGCCATTAAGCTTGTGTGGATTGTCACGGTTCGGGCATTCATCATTTCTTTGCTGGATGTTCTTCTATGAAACTTTTGTTTTGGCTTCCTTTCACCAGATTTTGTTTTGCCAGCTTTTCTTTTTGTCCTTTTGGGTGACTGCTCCATATTCTTCTAGTCAGTAATAAAGAACGAAGGACTTGAAGAGCTTAGAGAAGTGTGTTCTGGTACTTTCAGGATCTGTTTATCATGGGAAATGGAGAGGGACGGATGTTTCTATCGAGTGATAAAGAAAAGTTGCTTCACAGGTTGATCTTAGAAGCAGGAAAAATTAGTGAGTCCCTTTTTTAAAATATTATGTAGACTCAATTGTGGTCTTATTATGGGTATTATATGCGTGCATCCCGAATGGCACTCTGTACTGTTGAACTTACTGCTAATAGCATTCTCCGTCTCTTTCCCTCTTTCTTATCATCGTGTCCAATTTTTATGCATCTCTACTGCTTGATCCATTTACTAACTAGGCTAATTCTTGTTTTTTAGACGACTGAGTTTCAGTGGGAAGCTGACATTCTATCAAAGCTTCAGCATTCGAATGTTGTGGCATTTTATGTGTTGCGCAAAATGGGCCTCGAGGAACCTTAGCCACTATTGCAGAATTTATGGCCGATGGTTCTGTGAGGCACGTTTTACTCCACAAAGATAAGTATTTTTTCCAGCGTATGCTTTCAAATTTGATATTTGCATTGATTCAATAATTTTGTTTTATAGTTGTTACAATCAGCATGATTGGGTACTAGATAGAAGGATAGAAACATCTCGTTAGCCACAACAACAAAGAATTTAAATGTCTTGGAACAATAAGCATGCCATCTTGCCAGTCACTTCATTCAGTGGTCGTTCCTTCTTTTCTGTGCTGCTTATCTCCAGCCTCTAACCTGCATAGTCTGCAGGCATCTAGAATGCCGAAAGCGGTTCATAATTGGAATGGATGCTGCCAATATTCTGCATTTTGATGTGGAATGTGACAATGTGCTGGTGAATTTGAAAGATCTTCCAGACAAAAAGAAATATTGATGACCTTCCTCCAATGTCCATCAGGTTCTCATGCATAACTTGAGGAATTGAAAATAAAACCCCACCAAGCGAGAATGGATGAGACCAGCAGTACCAGTCCTTGAATGTCCATTTGCGTTGCAATGATCGGATCTTAAATTATGCCCAGTGGCCATCAGGTGTGCTGCACATTCCTGAAGTAGAGGGAGACTGGTGACATGGCATGTGCTACTTGCATGTGCGAAGTATAATGGTGGTTGTCTATGGGAAGAAATTGGGTAGTTTCATGCATAAGGAACTTGATGAAATGAGAAGTTATAAGAGATATGCTAATTATATTTGTTGTCTTTTTATTACTTAATATATGACCAATTTGGAAATAGATCCATTTCCTTTCATTAGTTATTGGGGGCTATAGTGGAGCAAATGGAAAAGTTAGAGAAAGGTTCTGACTTTATTTGTAAAAGATAGACATGTCGCTTTAGAAGCTTAGTTGGAGACATGGAAGTGGGATTTGAGAACATGACGAGAAGCGTGTGCCTGGTCCCTCTTTGCCTTAGAAACAAGAGAGCGCATGATGCTTCTGTTGCGACCTGAAAGGGGCATTCAACTATCCCTAAAAAGGAATGATTGACAGGTTTTGATGAAATTAGATTCCAAAAAGTGGGGTAGGAAGGCCCCTGTCATCGTTGGAGTTTCCACTTTCCATTTTCACCATCTGAAAAAATTATTGGACAATCCCTCGAATACCAGGCGACGTCGTTCCTGGTAAATTAATAAGAATCAAGAATGGCGAAGCCAAATAAAAACCTTTCAGTTTGTTGATTTTCGTTGATTCAAGAGAAGCTGTAGGGCTCTTCAAAAAATTGCAAGTCCCCTGTTCCTCAACCTTTCCCACTTTGCTCTTTGTGATTTGGGACTCCGAGCCTCCCTTTTGATACGGCAGTGAAGGTTAGAGAAATTAAAGAAAATGATGGATGGCGAAATGATAGCTCTTCAACTCAAAACACTCATCAAATCACGATGACATAAAGTTGTGATTTCATGAGCAATGAACAGCTAGCCTAGAAAGACTAATATGGCATAACCACTTTCGAACAATGGAGAGTTGGAAATTACAAATCAGTGCAGCAGAAAACAGCATATATACAGGAGAAGCAATATTTATATATACACACACACACACATCACCATGTCCAAAGGAGGAGATTTTGGACGGGAAGAAATCTACAATTGGAGTATTACTTATGCAAAAAAGCTCATATACTTCAAATTAAACTAGATTCAGTGGCTTGTGGAATAATTAAAGTCGGACCCAGAAAAGGTTAGCAAAAAAAAAAGGGACCTGCGATTTTTATGAACTTGCGAAAGTCTAGTACGATGCCCGGTTTTTATAATATCTCGAATTACATATGTTAATGAACAATCGATAAAGATAAGCAAATTGAACTTGTAGGGTTTTTGTTAAGGCGAAATATATACTTTTGAATTAGTTTTTTTGGTAAGGACTTTTGAATTAGTTTATGTATGAAAAAACTAAATAATAGCAACTCCAATGGTCCAACGTACTTTTTTGTTAACCATCACATAACGAAGTGCAAGAGTTGACCTTGAGGTGCATTAATGTCATTGTTGGCGGGTAATTCTATCCATCAATTGGGGGATGGAGTTTGGGGCAACGTGACTCCTGGACAGATATTCATCTGAACTCTATTTGCCATATTACATGGCGATGCTAACTTTTTTCCATGGCAAAACTGAGCTCCATATCTTCGACAGCACTTCTTTCGGAGTCACTGGAGATCCAATGTCTTGAGGAATCTCATGAAGTCTCTTGATATTCCTATTGCTCATTGCTCACTGCTCATGGATGCAGCAAGCGAAAGGATGAATGACCTCACGTGTCCTCTCCCCAAAATCCAGGGATAGACAAGAGCAAGGGGCACATGAAGAGGAAAAGATAATGTTAAAGCAGGTAATTAAAAGGGGAGTAGTCAATTGATTGCCGTGTGTGGCCATGTTTGGCTTTGCTCATCATCAGATATAAGTGGACCCATAGCACACCAATGGTTAGCTAGTGAATTTTTTTCCCCTCTATTACTCGACCTTATCATGTTGATTATGACATTCCTTTCCTATTATTTTTCATGCCCAACCTAACCATTGGAATATATTATTTTGTTTTCATTCCAAATTTTTGCAACAGAACCAGTCTCCATCTTCGGTACATAGCTCCACTTGGTTATCCATCGGAGATGTGGGCGGGGCGCATAATTCAATGGAAGAGAGCTCACAAGTCTCCGAGTGTGGTCATTTCGCTGATCGACCCCACTGTGTTGATATCATCCCTTGTATGTGAAGTCGAGCTTTCGCGACTTGGCTCGGTGTTTGGATTGGCTAGCATTATTGATCTATGATGTAGAAGTGTGCCATATCTTCTCACTTGGCGATACACTTTACATGAATCGGTTTGTGTAATGTACCGCAATTGTCCGAAACACCTGCGAAGTGTTCGTGGTTGAAGCATGATGTGTATCGATTGTGTATGATGACTGTCATTTCGAGTATCGATTGTGCTGTGTAACCTAAGGAGTATGGAACTCTAATGAAGGTGAAGAAGCAAGTTCTTGAACTGCATGGTTGTGGATAGCGAAATGGTTCTCGGTTCAATCTGTCGCTGGGACTTTGGAACCTATCATCTAAGACCTGTGTGAACTATGGGGAATCTACTGCCATAGAGTTTGCTGATAGTTCTACCAATCACTTGATTATCTACTTGACTTGGCTCAACCGCATCTTACCCAATTCCCTTTTTTAATAGCTGGAGCCATAAATAAGCATGAAACCTAATCATAGCCTCTGACATACGTAGGGGTCTAACTAGGGATGAGCTGAGCTCAGCTTGACAATGAGGGCATGCCATGCATATTTTTTAAAAAGTCCCAGTTATCACCTTTATTTGAAACGAGACTTATGAATTGAAAGGAGGAAAAAAAAGTTCAAAAAAAGAGAGGAGGAAAAAAAAAAGTTAAAAAAAAGAGAGAGAATCAAACAACAGGCAAAAAACTGTCACTTAATCAGAGAGAAGTCTGATGCAGATATCTTTTGGATCTGGAATTATTAGTGGGCGAGAGGATTTAAGAGGGACCGGCTCATCGTGACCTACAACATCTGCTCCCTTTCAATCATTTTCTTCAATAATGAAGAGTAAAAGACCACTGAAGGCAACAGTTTTTCTTTCTGAAAGTGAAGGCATTGTGTGGTTTCTGATAAGGAAGTAAAACGGAGCTCCGATCTGAACAATTCAAAAATTCTGTGACGATACATGTCGACATCTACACGTAAAATGACAGACTGGGTAGGGACAAGAAATTCAAACCTTAAGATGGCAATATCAAATTCGGAGCAGTTGATCGAGATGATGAATGATGCATCATTGACAATGATTTTACTATATGGAAAATGAAAAATATCTGCAACTGTGTCGAGAATAGGCGCTACGTTAATTAATTCATATAGGAGTTGCGTCATGATGCGAGTTGCATATGTTCGTACATATTCCTCAGGACAAAATACATTAAAAATGAAAAATATTTGCTACTATGCACGTCACTCAAACTCTACCCACAGGAATCTCATGATCAATTAACTCATCAGGCATTCCATCGATGGGCACTGTTGAAATATCATCTAATATCGTTTGATAACGGATCCTACACATTCTTTATATTTATGTGATTTCCCTCCACTTAATAATCTAAGCTTTTGGGTTGAACTTTCTAACATGATATCAAAATCAGTGCTATCCTTTCCATGTATGTGCGTCCACCCCCCATCAGTTAAACTTCACCTGCCGTGATCAAATTTCATATGCCGCTCCTAATTCGGTTTGCGCATGAGTGGGTTGTTGAAATATTGTCTTAATAGGTTCCGTATGCTCTTTATATTCATATGGTCGCCCTCCACTTATACCTTAAGTTTTTGGATTGGACTTTTTATTATTACGAGTCATGTGTATTCATGGTTTCATATGGACCTTAGCTTCTTTTCGTTTGAGCCTGGATTCTAATCGTAGTGTCAACATCCATCCGAAAACTCTCATCTATCTATTTCATTATCATTTATGTGACAAAGTTGATCTAGACCATGATTATAGCACGCTGAGACTAATTAATGCCTTTGATCCCGTAAAAAGAAAACAGTTATGGCATGTCGAGACTTGATACTCGGCCAAGAATTGCATTTACTTTTGACTTTAATCTCACGAAAATTATTTGAAGTTGGTGACCTCATCAACTTAGGTTGTGTTTATAAAGCTGAATATTTTCACATATGATTGGTAAGAACTGCATATAAGTTTAAATGGATCTAAGATAATAAGAATCTCTCTCGATTCACTGTTAAATAAACCACAAATGCACAAACAAAAACAACCTTTAGCAATCAATATGTGATTATTGTACGATCTAAATCTTAAACAACAAAGGAGCTCGTTATAGCATTTTAGAGCCACACGTTTGAACATGACAAGAAATGTATACGGGCTATAGCAACATTTACGAGATAGATTGGGCAATGAATGTCAAATCTGGTAAGAGAGAAAAAGTACGATCATCCACTTTCGCGATTCCAAAAAGTATAGTGCTTTGACTCTTTCGTTTCTTTCATGAAACTTCCATGTCAACTAGAGAGTTATGGAGGAGAAGGAGCTTTGCCTCTCTTCGACTCTTTCACCATTTTCGTGAAGCTTCGAGGTAAACCAAAGAGCTACAGAGGAGTTGTGAAGCTTAACGTGAACCAATATTGGAATTTACATCGAAAGTACGTAATACAAATAAATACTATATATAATATATATATAATAGAAAAGAAAGAACTTCAAATACATGCATATAAACAAAAATTATGGTTAATTTTGTTTTATTATTTTGAATTTTCGTTTTTTAAATATTGGAATTTACTTATTATTTATATTTGATTATTATTCTAGTTTTATTAACTTAAGAAGTTTGTTATTCGAGAAAAGTAACTTTTGCGCTATTCAAATAAGAAATTCTATCCACCTTTATTCCACTCCCCACATAGATTATTTCTATCCAGGCTATGAATCTCTTATATCCGGCGTTATCCTGTCTTGGACATGATCCAAATACAGGATAAAATAACTTTTATCCGTTCCTCACTTTTGTACTGGCTACCAAATGTAGCCTTGGTGCTGATGTGCTCATCAAGCTACAAACTTCCAAAATGCAATTTCTAACTCAAGTAAGCTCAACCACCTAAACCTTCATCTATATCATCAGGTTACACAACCGCCCAGCAATAAGATTAAGAGATATCATTAATCAAGAGAAGACAGTTGTCAGCCTTAACCCCAAGGGAAAGAATCTTTTTGGTCGAAATGAATATAAGATCCACCACAGCTTAGCTAATTTTATGGTGAAGAAACGAAGATACCCATGTGCTTTTTCCAAAAGATGAACCGCATAATTTAACTGAAAGAGAATGATTTTTGCTTTTGAAGTTAGATCCCCACACGCTAATCCTTTCATAATGACTTCTCACTAAGGATTTGTGGATTGACGATCGATCATTTCGAACCACCTAAAGTCGCTCGTTCCCTCGCGTTGTTGTCATCTCCCGAAAGTTGTTTTGTAGCTTTCCCATGATCAGAAAAGAGGAAACTGCTTTTGTGATCGCAATAACTCTTTCCTTCAGATGTTGAGATGTCTGCTTTCTCTCAGCTCAAGACAGTTGCGTGGCATAGAATATGTGACGACACAACAATTATTATGAGGATTCGAAATGTTCTTTTTTTTTTTCCCTTTAGTTGCTCGATATCATGAGGATACATGACCCCACGATCGTTTCTCGAGCAATACATCAAGCATGAGATTAGATCGGATGTTTAAATGAGTAAGATTCGTGCGGACTCGATAGCTGGTTTATTACTAATCTCGTCGAGTCATTTAGTAAGTGAGTAGAGTGAAAAGTTACGGTACATTATATCGAGATCCCACTGTATTCAAGGAGTCAAGGGTTTTGCCGGGAATTCCGGATCGAAGAAGAGGCGGATCAAAACATGTTGCGGAAAAAACCAAATCGAGATAGAATGGAAGATGCTTTGAAGATCCCGGTTCATCAACGAACAATCGATCAACTAACGAAGAAATGTTAGTAGAAAGCTAAAAATAGCAGTGTCTACAGAAAAGTGGAGGAGCAAAAATGAAAAGACACAGAGGAAACTTATGCATGAGTAATCACCGGGCTCAGTTTATGTTTTTTGGGATCAAAAACTACTTTTTTCCTCACAATGCTAACATACCCTTCATTTTTTTTTGCTTAAAATAGCATCGGGGAGATCCTCTTTTTCATGCGAAAAAGTGTATTGCCAAACTAGAGAGAGATGCACAAAGTTGCCCACAGAAACTTAGTTGAAATAGAGACGTGTAAGTGGGATTTGAGACCACGATGAGAACTGTGTGCTTCGTGCTCTTTGTCAAAGTTAGAAATGAAAGAGTGCATTGGGCAGTTTCGACCAAATTGGGACAACCACTTATCCTATTCTAAAAATAAAATGCCTGGCTTTGATAGAATTTGACTCCAAAACGTGGTAACCTAGTGATGAAGATGTAACACTGTCTTTCATAAAGCCACAAGTTCTAGCCTTGTTATGAGCGAACTTCGCTGGTTAGCTTGTGTTTTAGGTTCTTATCATCTCACGTGGAGAGACTTTTTGATTTTTGGTATCCCGTTTAGATTACGGTGACAGACTCGTGCACTTATAAGAGGACCGAATAGTTATGGATCAAGCTAAACATTCTGTAGTAGGTGTACGGCTTTTATGATAATTGATCAAAGCGGAAAATTGTACACGTCGCCCTTCCCATTTTTTAACAATAAAAAAGAAGAAGAAGATTCTGAAAAATGGGTTGCAATATTGATTTGTCATTATTGGAGCTTCAATTTTCAATTTTCTTTTTCACAAAAGTTATTAGGCAATCCTAGCATATCACATGACTTCACGTATCATTTCGATTTATTTTATGGATAGATAATAAGGAATATCGAAACTAAATAATCTGATAGCTTATTGACTTTCTTAATCTTTAGTAGAGATTCCAAACTTCCTTTTCGATATGCCCATCATTTCACTCCGTGGTGGTTAGGGAAACTGAGAGAAAATGATTGATGTTGAGCTCTTCAACTCAAAGCACACTTATGGAGGTGACATAAAATTGAGATTCCATGAGCAATCAACAGCTAGCCTAGACAGACTTAAATGGCATAACTGCTTTTCAACCATGGAAAGTTGGAGTGCATAGGAGACGCAAACCCTATCGTCCCTAACATTTCCTCTGCGAAAGGTACGACATCTCTTAATTATTGGAGCATTACATAGGTAGTGCAAAAGAAGGGACTCAAAAATACATATAAAGTCGCAAAACTTTCGAGTGATGATCGGTTTTAAAACCATCTCTACTTTACATTTTTTCGTTTATATATATTGTGAAATCACTAAAAATGACCAAACATCGAACTTTTATGGTATTTACTAAGACGAAATATACGTTTTTGAATTGAATTACGCGTGAAGAACTAAATAAAAGAAACTCCAACCGGGTCAATTTCTAGTTTCATTAATCATCAGTTGGAAAATACAAGGTTTTGGACAAAAGAAGGGAATAAAAAAAACATAATAACGTACTATATTGAAAGGTATATGTCACACCCTTTAGTAGGGGATAGGATAGAATTAACCATTGAATTTAAGAGGGAAGCAAAAATTTGTGAGACACATATCATATCTGCGAGCTTTATAACTTAACGCTAAACATGATCTCTACATTGTTGTTGCATGTCTCGGGTCGAGCACTAATCATTTGATTATAAGCAAGTCATGCGTCACCAGCTGATAAATCAGATCACTCTTCAATAATCTATTGAAAAGAAGTTGTGTCAGTGGAGGGAAGTTATGGGATCAAGATGAGGTGGGGTAAAGTGTAAGACACATCTCTCCCTGACACAGCCATAATATAATAAAGTGTATATTAGCTGGTCCTAGGGAGACAACCCAAAAAAAGAAATTTTATAAGAGATTTTCTTTAATTTAAAGAAAGAGAGAATATTTTCTTCTTGATTTTCCATGGAGATGAATAGAAAGTGGAGGAAGATGTTATGTGCCAGATAGCAGATAACTTACTGAATAGAATAAAAACTGAATTTTTAATTGATGCCCACTACGATACAAGAGTTATATGCTGATAGAAAAATACTGTTGTTGTCTTGCAAGAAGAAGGTGCCATTGGTACATTTGTCAGCAGCTGAGAATGGACAGGTGGGCCGTGCTGATCTCACAATATGGGAAAAGAGAGGAATGGAAGAGTTATAAGAAATTCAGATGATTTGGGTATATATATATATATGGTAATCTGAACAAAATTCCTCCAATAAGAGAAACAAGAAAATGCATGTATCCAGTGCTTGTGGGTCTCTGTCATCCCAGAGATGTTACGGCTGATGGTTTAGGACAAAGAGGTTTCTCCTCTTCTTCTGTATAACCCACATAAACAAAAAGGAAAAAGAATAGTGCATTGGCCCCAAAAAAGGAAAAATGGGAAAGGCTTATTATGGGTTAATTCAAAAAAAAGTACAAACTTTAGGTCGAAAGACAATTCTGATTTGAACTTTTTTTTTGTCCTGTAAAAGAACACTAACTTTAGGTCGATGGACAATTTTGAGCCGAACTTTTTTCGTCTAGTAAAAAAGCATTAACTTTAGGTCAAGTAACAATTCTGACCCTAACTTTTTTTTATCTCGTAAAAAAGCACAAACTTTCACTTAAATCCTAAATCTGGCCCCCATTGACATAGAACCATTGATTATCTAACTTGACTATTCCACCTTAGCAATAAATCCATGTGACTTGCTGACTGGATTTAAAGCAATATTCATTGTCTTATTCTCTGAGCCACGATTTAAAGAATAATGGTGAAATTGTTCGTCTCCTTCACTTCACCGGCAAGTAAAAAATATCTCCAGATCGAATCTCTCTGGCCAAACGTAAGCTGAAGCTGACCACCGCCTGTTGACAGATGCCATGGACGAGATTCGCCAAGCTCACCACCATAACCTTTTTTCTTAAATAATGGTGACTTCAGACATAAAGTCAACTGGGGGCTAGATTTGGGATCAATGTGAAAGTTGGTGATTTTTTATGAGATAAAAAAAATTGCTGCCAGAATTGTCACTCGACTTAAAGTTGGTGCTTTTTTACGGGACAAAAAAAAGTTCGGACCAAAATTGTTTCTCGACCTAAAGTTGGTGCTTTTTTATGGGACAAAAAAAAAGTTTGGGCCAGAATTGTCCTCAACCTAAAATTGGCGTTTTTTTTTGGAATTAGGCCGCTTATTATATATATAAGTTCTTTCTGTGGGCGTCCCTCCATCTGCTTTCATCAAGCTTTCCTTCGGTTTACTTTGTGGGAGAGAGAGAGAGAGAGAGAGTTGGTCTTGCGTTTCGTCACGATCAGTGGCTGCACGTGGGACACCCAGAAGGTGAGAATTCTCTCTGAATTTCTTGTGGAATTCATGTGAATATAGCATATCAATGGCGTGGTTGCATGAATTTTCGTTGATATTCATCTGGGACAATGTTTTTTCCCTCTCTGCAACACTTTGTCCCTGCAGCCTCTTTGTTCTTTCTTTTCTTCGGGAAAAAAAGATTTCTTTGGCCAATTTGTTCTGGATGAAATAATTTTTTGTTTATCTGTTTGCAAATTGGTAGATTGCATGTGATTCTTCTTGATCGTTTTTGCTGTGTATGACGTTTTATTGCCAATGTCTTGAAGGAGGGTTCTGATTGAGTTTCCGTAATCAGGGTACTGGGTACAGTTTGCGACTGCAGTAGAACTAAAGCCTGTTTCTGATGTATGTATTGATGACTTTGCTCTTGATCTCTTTACAAGTACCCAACACCAATTTATGCACGAAAGTTTTTTTTTTTTGTGCTTTTATTTTATTTAATTCCATGGTGGATAATTGCTTTGAATTTTGGCTAAAGAAATAGAAAATTCATCTGTGGTGGATTTAATTTGGACTTTTGGGTCTAGATAATTGCTGTTTGGATTACGAGTATGCTTGTGATATAGGGATCCATAAAGTTATTGTGCTTGATTGATCATACAGTGCAGCTATGCTTCATATTTGTCGTCTTTCATGCATTTATGCCCATGAGGCATAAAGGTTGCTGGGTTTTTCTGGGTGCTGTCTTTCATTTCCAGGCCATTTCAAGATCTATGAAACATGTGGTTGATTAATTGATACCATCTTTTTTAATTTTTCTTATTGGCCGTTGCCACCTGTCAGTATTTGCCGTTTTGAATTAGCTTATAGCGAAGATCTTCTAATTGTTCTCCTCTAGAATTTTGCATTTTGTCTTTCTTTATCATCTAAGTACTGGTCTTTGCTTAATTGGACTTGCATATAGAATGGCTCTCTCTGGGGTGGTTCCTCAAGATAGAGGAGAATTGAGGATACATGAAAGTTTGGATGAGCTGAGCACCGACTTGGCAGACTACATTGCTGAATTATCTGAGGCATCGGTGAAAGAGCGAGGCGTTTTCTCCATCGCCTTATCTGGTGGTTCTCTCATTGGCTTAATGGGGTATTAATGCTTGCATTCCCTTTACTTGCTTTGTCAGATGGACAGTTTCAGCTCTCTGTTTAACTTTTTCTTCTCATTGCAGGAAGCTCTGCGAAGCGCCTTATAATAGGACAGTGGATTGGGCAAAATGGTATATTTTCTGGGCTGATGAGCGTGTGGTAGCAAAGAACCACACTGATAGCAATTACAAGTTAGCGAAGGATGGCCTCTTGTCCAAGGTATGCATCTTTCTTAGACTAATAATGTTTTGTCCATTAAAAAATGTTCTTTTTTGTTGGCATTTTTTTTGGCGGTGATAGAGAATGTATTAGTCTAGTCTTCTTTTGGGAACTAACTACTACACATTACCAAACCCTTCCTGACCTGGGAAATCACCTCTTACCTTAGCATGTAGACAAGCCTCCTTTTTTGCATCGCTCCTCCACTGATGTCTGCATTTATTATTTGGACTGATTCCATAATGATTTTCGGGACTCTTAGTGTAGCTGTAAGGTCACTACATGCTCAGTTTTGTATTCTTGTTGGATGCTTTATTGTCATCTGTTCACCAGATGGACTTCTTCATTAAGCTGTTCCTGGCTGTATGGACCCAAAATTGACAACAACAGGGCAGTAAAGACTGTTGACATGATTGGACTAAGTTACATCAAATAGAGCTTATGCATCAAGCATTATCTCTTCATTTTCGTGTTCCAGGAAAAAATTCCTCTCTTGTATAACTTCTGAATCTGGGCCTTTCACCTGGTGCATGAGCCAATTTCCTTGGAAGAATCATACCCCAGCCTTTAATTTGTCTTGTGTTTCAGTTAATAGGCCAACATGAAGATCCTAGCATGTACTGCACATCTTCCGGCGTTCGTATCTGACTATGTTTTGTTTCACTCTGTTCTCGGCTGAGTTTTAGGGTTGTCCTTTAGTTGCTTTCCTAATTGTTTAATCCCTCTTTTAGGTAGATCGACAAATATGTGAAAGTCTCCAGTGCATTCCACTCTACCTAATTTACATTTTCTTCTGAACCATTCTGAAGGAATTATTTTCCATGTCAGCAGACAATTATTGAATCACCCTAAACTAAGGCAACAATGAACTTGTCTCCATGTACTTTGATCTATAGCTTGTGAAATGAAGTCATTGTCCAGTATATGCGAATTTAACTCTTAATGGTTTCTCATTAGTGCTACTTCTAAGACATTACAAATGTGTAGCGTCTTTCACTCCTCATTATCTTGTTTACTTCTAAATATGTGGTTTTGTTAGCATATTGCATGCAGGGAAGTTATAGGGAGAACTTTGGACGTTGCAAATTAAGTGTCCTCATCAAAATTCATATATCCCATAGAGATGACAAAATAGTATGCTCAATTCCATCAATAACTAGCTAACTGAGCTGGAAGTTTTCCATTCTTGTCTGCAGTTTTTAATCTTTCTTCTTCCAAGTCTTCAATGTGCCCTAACAGAAGCAAAACATATATTTGGTTACAAAAAAGTTGACTTTTGAGGGACAAGTTTTATAGCAATCATGTAATTTGTATCAACTTTTGCATAGTGCATCATTAGCCTTTAGATTTCGGTGCTTGTTGACCGTTCCAGTTTTCTGAGCTGAACAGATATAACGTACACCTAAAACAGAAATTTAACGAAAAGATGGCATGATTAAAGTCATTCTATTTTAGCTTGCCTTACTGCTCCTCTAACTTGCTTGAAACATCTTTCCATTCCTTTATGCTAAAATTCATTGAAACTTGTGACATGGTGCAATAACTTGGCTGTCTTTTGATGCTACTAATTACCTTCCATATTAGCTAGCTGCCTGGGTTGCAAAGATTTAGTATGATAATTAATTTTTTGCAAAAGTTACCGTTTTTTGGAAAAGTGGCAATCAAATCATTAATTGGAATTATTTTCTGTGAACTTCTAATAGCCTGAAAATCACAGGGCATTAGTTTATTTTTTCTGTTCATTTTGAGCTTTTTCACATATAAATGGAGAATCTTGATAGTTTCAACATTGTAATCATTACGGTATGATTAGGAAGGACTGATAAGCACCAGATGAACATGTAGTTCAAACAGCAAGTCTCCTCGTGCTAGTTAAACTCATTCATCAAAAGGATCATACATTGCTTTCTCGATTTCATCTTTTTTTTTTTTTAACTTTGGCAGGTTCCCATTATTCCAAGTCATGTGCACTCCATCAATGATGCGGTCTCTGCAGAGGAGGCTGCAAGTGAGTACGAGTTTGTGATCAGGCAACTAGTGAAAACTCGCATGGTCAGTGTCTCTGAGGTTAGCGACTGTCCCAAGTTTGACCTCATCCTCCTAGGGATGGGTCCTGATGGACATGTTGCCTCACTATTCCCTAACCATGCAGTGCTGAACGAGAAAAGCGAGTGGGTGACCTTCATAACTGATTCCCCGAAGCCTCCACCGGAGAGGATCACCTTCACATTACCAGTCATCAACTCCGCTTCCAACGTGGCTGTGGTCGTGGCTGGTGAGGCCAAGTCGGAGGCCGTGCACTTGGCAATTGACGACGTGGAACCTGACTGCCCGAAACTGCCCGCTGGAATGGTTCAGCCGATGACGGGGAAGTTAGTGTGGTTTTTGGACAAGGGGGCTGCCTCAAAGCTCGATGGCAATCAATTTTACAAGTCCTAATGTTTATGTTTTGGGTGCAGCGGAGGGATGGAACACCTGTCGATTTTGTTTATGCTCCCGCCCTTTTCACATTTAGAAAGTGAAAAAATCATTCGAACTCTAGATCATGGTTTAGTTCTCCATTTTTTATTTGTCGTCCTCTTTTGTCGGATGGTGGAGAACTATGGTTAATTCCTTTTATAAGAAGATTTTGATGAGGTCGGAGGATCAATAAAAGGCCCTTATATTACTAGCTCTCTTTTTTTTTGCTAGAATATATTACTAGCTCTCTTGATATCTAGACAATGAGAAAATGCTTGAAAAGCTGCAACGGTAACAAACAGTTTTGATATGTGTTTCTTCTATGCCTATTTACACCGGTGAAGTTGCAATAATCAAGCTTCCGGTTGAATTCTCGAGAGGGCTTTCACCAAGTATACCAGTTACAAGAAGTCCAAAAAAGGGAAAGAAAGTTTTGCACTGTGCCTACACTTGGGACTGTGAATTTGAAGAAGGCAAGAAGCAGATGGGGAAAATTTGTGAGAAAGGGAACAAGAAAAAATAATAAGATAGTAACTTTACAGGGAAGAAAATGCTGGCTAGTTGAAAGCAAAAATGATCATTGCGAATGTCGGGATCAGCTTGCGAGCTGCATCGTCCGATACTCCCTCTCTGTTATTGATCTTATGCCGTTAATATCAGGCGACACCTCTTCTTCCTCATCTTCTCTAGGAGGGAAGCCATGTGTTCGTGCGGTGGCCCATTGGTCGATGACTCCGCAGTCAATGGCATACTTGATTGAGTGCTCTAAGTAGTCTCTGTCTGTGTGGAGGTCAGGCTGAACTGTCAGCATCCTCATGAGACCTTCAAACAAGGGCAAAAGAGAAATTGGTAAAGCAGAGTGACGTTTTATCATGCCAACAACGCAGAGCTTGGTAAGAGAAGGTTCGTTTCAATCATGTTGAAAATGCCAGATGCACCCAATCACAGCATTAATATCCAGGAGAAACGAAGCGATCCTATTGTAAACTGATCAGAATTGCCTTTTCAAGCATCAAACTTGTTTTATCCAATGAACTCACTCTCTCTGGGGCTTCAACAAATAAGCGATTGCTCATCAAATTTATATAGGATGTTCAGAGGAATGGTCAAAATAAGTGAGATTTAAGAACTTGAACAAATGATGAGGAGCAATGATGACTGATGGAGTAATGAAGCTAAACTGATCAAATTATACATATGGAGTAATGAAATATCTTAACAAGTATGGGTATATTATGGTTGTGATAAACTGAAAAAATAAAAACACAAATTGTGGCACAATGTGGCCTGATTAGCTATTTGGCCCCACTATGGGACACTGCATGTAAAGAACGGCATATCATCTGCAATGTCTGCTTCATCTCTCTAGCCTCCACTATAATCGGATATTTGAAAGAGCATTCAACAAGCAAAAGAAACATGATTGTGAGACATTAGAGAGATCAGCCCTAGAATAATATGCCAGCAGTTAATGAGAAAAAAATACAGTACCAACATATTCTTTGGGGTATCCTGAACAAACACTACTTTCAATCATGACGTATCCTAAGGAACATTGCTATGCAAGACCATTCACAAAAAACTAAATACTCAAAAAGAGCAAGCGGAACTTTAGATTTCTCGGTGTAACAGACAGGCACAATTATAACAGATATGAGTATAGCATCTCAACAACTTCATACCTGCAACAATGCCATCTCCAGATGCCGACATATCACTAGAGAAGGGGGTGATGGGAGGATCCTCCATCCCATGGACAGCACCATTCTGCTCCTTTGTGTAGTAGTGAATCTTGGAAGTTCCATTCGTCACAAACAAGACCTTAAGATTCTCGTGCCAGAGAGGTGCAATAATGTCTGGTTCATAATGAATAAATTTGGATTTCGAGTTATTTTCGGTGTCAAATTCCTCAGATGGCACGATCCCACATAAAAACTCAAGTTCCTGCTTCGTGACCTCAACATAATCTGCTAGCTCCCAAACTTGCTGAATGAACATTTTAGTTTCCTCATCAGAATGCCAAAGAGGCAAAGGAAGATTGACATCATAAAATATAAGCCCTCCGAATCTCTTTGAGATCTTGATGGCTTGCAATGCCGTTGATCTCATGTTACGCTCAAGCAATGAATGCGTGTTGATATATAGCATCTTTGCCTACATCAAATTCCATATAATGTTAAAGACAGCAGGGATACACAACATAGTGAAGAATCAATTATTCAAACAATATAATAAACAATAATGCGAGCACTGAACTGTTCTTCAGGAGTAGTACAGACTATGCACTTCAAGTAGAAGGACTGCATTTAATTTAAGCAGATCCTTCACCAAACATAAACCATTGTGTGATGGGACATCAGATACATGATCCAATTTGGGGATTCAGGTGAATAGTATGGGGACAAAGATGATAACAAAAAGGGATCGCGGAGTCAAGTCCATCAGGTTCCTCATATGCATGTGTAGTTTCCACACTGACCACAGCTGTCTTACAATTAAAATAAGGGAGTCATTATGTCCATTCTTATTAGTGCTCATTGCTGTTAGACAGGTCACTGAATTTCGTGATTTTTTAGAGATCCACGAGCCATTGAACCAAATCACTTACATATCAGCACTATCAGCAGAAAGATACATGCTTAAACCTTAAGTTTTGCAAAGATGTTAAACAATAAATTTTCCTTTTCCAGCTTAGTAATGTATATCACTCAGGACCTCTGGTTTAATATTCTCAAGGGTTTTCTCAAAGCAGCAGGATAAATTACCTCCTTCAGCACATCAACATTGATGTCAGACTTCGATAAAGAATCTTCTGCACAAGGTCGAGCAGAAGTCATTCTCAAACGGCCCCTTTTACCAATCTTCATCAATGATACAGCTGATTGCCTCTTGCTATCAATGCGAAGACATCGGGTTTGAACGTTGTTCATGTTCAAATAATATAGCATGGCCTGGCCATAGTCATCATCCCCAAGTTTACCCATCAAAGCAACCTTACCTCCCAAGCTTGCAAGGGCAATAGCCACACTTCCAGCTGACCCCCCTGGAGCCCTTACATATTTCTCTGGTGCCCATAAAGCATCTTTCATCCTTGCATGAATTTCATAATCTACAAGCCTGTTTGCTGGCCTTCCTGATGGTACAAAAGCATGCTGCGCAGCTCCAAAGCAACAAACAAGAGGAGGCCAGCCATACGTATAGCTAATATCCTCTCCCTCATCTATTCCCAGGTCTAGGTCCTCGTAACTCTCTTGATCTGAACTTGCAAAGAATGTGGAGTCCTCGCTATCCAACAATTCAGTTTCACTAGTTTTGTCCTCAGCAACCTCCAGAGTACTCTTTCTCCGCCTCCTCACCTTCTTGGTTTTCTCTTCCGTCGTCGTCGTCGTCGTCGTAAGAGCGGATGCAGCTGCAAAATATTCAAATCAGATGCATGCTCCTGGCCGTAGATATTAGAAATGATTATGGCTTAAGACAAGCACCAAACTAGCAGTAAACTCTGAGACACTACCTTTCTTACGAGTTTTTCGCTGTTTCTTGTCGGAATCTTCCAGTGCTATGGATACGGTCATATCTACATCACTAGAAATCAATTCAGAGGACTCCTCCGGGGTATTGACAACAGCTTTCTTTCTAGTACGAGTAGTAGCTTGCTTAGAAATTTTTGATGTCCTCCTTTTAGTGACAGCCTTATCTTCACTTTGTTCTGGAGCTGAAGGCTCCACGAGTTTTGTTTTAGACACAGCCGCAAGAGCCCATTTATTTTGTGATTTGACATGTTGATGGAGCACCAAGATCTGGGTCAAATAGAAAGGGAAATTCTTACGCCATCTGCAATTGCGGAGTTCATGCCTCAGAAAAAAAAATCATATCTGACAAGTTCATAACTATACTGGTGGAGTGAACCAAAATCAACCTCATGTAAACTTTCAGATAAGGAAAAAGCAAATAAATTTCTGATTGAGATGATGTTTCTTGCGAGAAAACCATAAACGGGGCTAGGTCATCTCACCTATACTATGACATCAAATTGATCATTTCACCCATAGTTGCCGAAATACTTTGAACCTCATTTTCTTCTCTCGCACAATAATCAATTCAAAGCCCATGTTAATGGTTTCAAGCCTTCATTTTACACGACAATACATTCGCACCCCCAAAGCAAGGGAAGGAAAAAAAAAAAAAAACAAAGAGCCAGTGGAGATTCGAAAGAAAGTTGCAGGACCAACTGCACAAAACACAGCCAACCACTGAATTGAACACCAAACAGCATCCCCAGTTCCGCAACAACTACATGTCTTAAAAGAAAGCCGAGTTTTCAACATGAACAGTCAAGCGAGTCACCCAGTATCAGTAATCAAAACACAAGCAAGACATGTTCTTCCCGCTGAATTACGACCAACCAAGCAGAACCCACTTCTAAAATTCAACAACAGGATTGACTAGTCTCATTCAGGCAAAATTTTCGAATCAAAACATATCGTTGGACGAGCGCACGGGCAAAATGAGAAGGGATTCCCTTTTCACTCAAAGACAGAGGAGGAAATCACATTAGCCACAGAGAGGAGCGAACCTGGGCAAGGGAGACAAGTGACTGAAGGAGAGAGAGGCTGACATCGATGAACCGGAACCCACGAATCGACTACGTAGAAGGGAGCAGACGTAGGCAGAGGGAGAGAGACACTTTGGTCGAGGGGTTTATCTTCCAGCGCCTCTTCGGGTTTAAGAAGCGAGGGCGTTTGCGGTTAATCAGCAGGAGTGAGGTAACGGGTTGTTTTACCGTTAATTTTTGGGCTAATTAAAAAAAAAAAAAAAACCAACTTTCTGACCTCCGAACTTATTTTTGTCTCAATAAAAATCACATACTTTTATTCGAGTCCCACATCTGGCTTCATGATGTGAAATTTTCAAATTGTTTAGGCTAGATTTGAGATTTAAATAAACATTAGTGATTTTTCATGAGAAAAAAAAATTCGGGCCAGAATTGTTACTTAAACTAAAATTGGTGTTTTTTTTTTAAATTCGGCCTTAATTCTTCTTTGCCTTTTATTTTATTTTTTTTGTTTTTCACCGGTGGATTGCTGCTTTTTAATTATTACTCTATCTTTCCTCTTCTTCTTATTTTTTGGTTACCTTTTAGTTTTAGCTATGGAAAAGAGCAATTCGCCGTTAAGGGTGTACAAAGGAACCGGGAACCATCTAGAACCGGACTGGATTGGCTCGGAACCGGCAATTTCCGTGAGGACCGGTCTGGTTCCCGGTTTTAATTTACGATAATCAGTGAGTATCGGTCCGGTTTTTGGTTCTAGGAGTGGAACCGCCCACCTGTCCACCCGGACCGGACCAGTAATATATATATAATTTTTAAGAACAATTTCAACCAAAAGAAAAAGAAAACATTTAAAAAAAAATGAAAACCATAAAATACCTAATTTGAAGCTCGAATCTCAACTCCCATCAACTAACGGCCGCACCTCTAGCCGTTTATCGCCTCCCTTTCTCACTCTCGGTCACCTCTATTTGCGTGAAACTTGGTGGGACCGGTTCCACGGACTCACCCAGGAACCAGACTGGACCGATGGTTCGGTTCCTGAATGGATCCATGGAACCAACGGGCGGTTTCTGGTTCTAATTTCTCGGAACAGTTCCTTAGCGGGGGGTTCCCGGTTCCATATTAGAAACAGCCCGCCCAGACCATACTCACCCCTACTCGTTGCCAAGAATTTTCATCTCCGCCCCCGGTGCGGTAGCAGAGGCGGAGGGACTATTTTCAATGCAAGGGTACCCGACATTCGCGATTTTAAAATTTAAGGTATTTTCACTGTTATAGAGGTTTAGATTACGTATGTTTACTTTGGCATGATTTTTGGTTCATAAATCTTATTCGTGTCAAACGGATCTCAAATCACGGGAAAAATTATCTAGGATGAGAAACTCATTTGAACATCATCAGAAGGACCAGCTTCGAAAAGCAAAAGCTTGGCTAAAACAAGCAAAGGGTACTCTGCAAATTTGTAAATTAAGTGATCATGTTTGACAGAGAACGTTGCCAAGGACTTGTTGCACGTATGGTCAAAGCATATGATAGAAGGAAACAACAAGAACGAGTAACTTCTATACGAAATTCGGCATTAACGCGCCCGGCAATCAAAACGTCCGTCGACGTTCCAGCATTCCGTCTCCTTTCAAGATCTATTCGCCGTCATCTCTCGTAAACAACGGAATGCAGCATTCAGATGGAGGTAGAGAAGATCGAAGGACCAATCCGCCTTGTGTTGCAGGCAGAGCACCTGCCCATCATCAATTTGGACTAATGACTCAATCTGCAGATGATTTCTGACTGATAGGATGATGTCCGTGGACATGAGGACTCACATTTATCCAACATTGGGACCAAAATGACTCCTCATTAGCAGCTCAGATCCTGAAAGTATATGAGTCCCTGATAGAACAATAATTTGATTTTGGATGTGCACGGTTATGAATGCATTTCTCGGAACAAGATGAAGTCTCTCCTCGTATCATTGAATTTGCTACCTCTCCTTTACAAACTTACAAGAGATGAAACGAGCAGTGAGAGCAGAATGATTAGACCTCTCGCACAATGAACGGTAAAAATGCGTCACGCTAGGCTCAATTCTGCTGGAATAAATGAATAGCTAAAGCATGTCCTTGGAAAGCTCAAACACAATCCTAACTAAATAACCCGACATACCGGCCCGCCAAATGAATTCTTATTTCACACGAGTGTTTGAGACAATATGATGCTATTCGGAAAAAGCAACAATACAATATATCTAATGACTTGCAACAGGGAAAATTCCCTCTCAATAATCTTGGTGACTTCTATCCAAATCTGAATCCAACAGATACAAACGGTTTCTCTCAATCATTGTTACATGACTCAAAAAATCATTTTAAAGGAGAGGTAGCGCAAAAAACAGACTTCTTCACTTCTTACGCAAATATAAGAAGCCAACAATCACTGAGATGCCAACAACAGCAACAGGAACAGCCCAGTATTGTTTTGTGAGGGCCGTGAGCTTCTGAGAATAGTCTGTTCCTTTGCTCTTGGAGTATATTTCAAGCTCGGGGATGGCTGGGGAAGATGGGTCAAACTCACCGATGCAAAAGGTCTGCAATAGCTCCCTTGCTTCTTCGCTATGGCCAGCGTCTTCAAACCCATCGGTAGCATCTTTTCCTTTATTAAGGAAAAAGGACAGATATGGTCACATGATAGATTCTAACCAATACCATGAGATTTATCTAAAATGGATCGTACTTAATGTGATCAAACTTCATTAAGTATTATCAACAAGGTGAAGAAAATTACCAGTTGTCTCAAGGATAACATCATCCCCACCAGGATGCTCGTCCATGTATGATGACACATCATAGACCTGTGCAGAAGAAACACAGTAAGTTAGAGCATAGACATGCACACGCCATAGTTACTCTTATTTGTTCCTTAATTTCTTTCTGGTACTTGCGTTAATCAGTACTACTTTTCTCTCCAAATATTTTGCATGACACTGTTGTTTCGAAAGTGGCTAGAGGTAAAGGATGCCAAAGTTAGCATTCCATCTGAAATAGCATTGACCCAGTCAGAGTTCTGGAGTTATAAAACTCATATCAATTAAAAACTCACAACCACTTTTCGTTAAGTTCATGAATTCCACATACTTCCGTTCAAAGAAAAACAAATTGATTAGTATTAATAGAATCCCATTGGAGGATGAAATAGTTATTATACACGAGTGATCACTATAGAAAAGTGGTTTCCCTCATCCACTTTCTCCACTTCTATCAGTCTCTCTCTTCCCCAATCCAGATACCAACCACCTACTCTCTCTCTCTCCTTCACACACATACTCCTTTTCCTTACCTCAAATCTATAAGCAATAGCATTCATCAGTATAAAGACCATTAGAATTTCGTATTGCAAGTAATTAAAAAAACACCATAATCCAACATCAAGGCTGTGCTCCAACTCAGAGAATGTATCATTTCTTTAGTTAAATGGTACATAACTAAGTCCTGAAAAATAAAAGATATTAGGAAGGGTCTAGCTAGAACTTCATGATCTCCCCTGACATTTCTCTCCAAAATTAACCTGCGAGTAGCATTTTCGTTACTAACTCGTTGAATGTAATCCATAGCATTTCAGAAGAAGGTTCCCTTTTATTTCACATCACCCAAGCCAATGCCAAGCAGCTAGCTTTGACATTGCTGTGAATGACAGAAGAACTTTTAAGCCTGAGAGAAGGCAACACCTTGTTTTATATTTTTCCTTTTAACTACTATGAAGAAAGTAACCTAAGAAGCAACTCCAACCAAAGAAGCCAAAAGGTGGAAGGGGGTCCCATGCATTGTCAGCTGGTGCATACCATCACTCTATAGCAGGTATTTGTGTCTGTCATTTGTCAAGAATAAAACTCCTATAGCTGATCTTAGGATTTAACAAGCAGCATCTTGAAGCCAAAACCATAAACACTACATATAACATTGTGTAGCCCAAATAATTCACATAATCAGGACCCATCTCTCCCATGTGTTATAACCAAACTCGACACCTCCAGTAACAGAGTTAATTGATTCTTAGCTAACCTACAAACAATGGCAAAACTCAATGAACTTGATGACCTCAAATTGCTACCAAAGTCACAAGCCCACATGAGCAACATCATTTACGCAAGATGACCCAAACTTCTAAACTGAGGATTGCATAAATCCATGAAAAAACATGCTACTGTATAGAATCATAATATTCTTCATAAATCCCTCTCCATTTTTCCTCGACTATAACTGCGGGTAGCCGGCCATTATTTTTTTTCGGAAGATCTTCGTTTTTGACAGAAAAGACAAAGGGACTTGTTTTGGCTCATCTGCCGAATAACATTCATTACTTGAACTGGTTCTTTTCAAGTATATATTGAAAAGGGCTTCAAATTTGATCAATTCAAAGCCACTACTGGATCACTTCAGGCTACTGAACTTAGCAAAAATGGATCAGCAACCAAAAGGGTGTTAACACATAAAAACTTTCAATCACAGAACATACGGGACAGGAAACTGACATCGCTAACTAATCAGACATGAGCACCGAAACCTAAGCTTACAACAGGGGATGCAAACACAAGTAGCAAGACAAAATCACACCGAACAGAAACGAAGGCGGCGGTCATAGTCCAAAATCACAGAAGAAGAAGCAGGATGGAGAAAGAGACGACCTTGCCGTCGATAACAATCCAGCAATCTTCTCTGGTGTTGTGCTGCGATGCTTCTTGCATCGAGTACATCTTCGTGATGGTCGGCATTTGGCCACCGGCGACGACGGCCCCTCCGGTCCCCGGTCAACCAAACGACGGCGGCGGGAATTCTTTTGGGGCGCAGATTATTGGTCTGGTGTCAACTTTCACCTCCTGCTGACATCTTATTTTCATCCACGTCCTTCTTCTGGAATAGATACATCATTGGGCTTGAGCCCTGAACTTGAGCTTGGTTATAAGTTACAACTATACGAGCTTAAATTTTGGGCTGCAGCTGCAAGCCTGATAACGATCCCCGTGCCCCAACTGCAGCAGAAAAGGAACCTACGGAACTCGTTTTTTGGTCCATAATAAAGACCTAAATACTAGGGATGTGCAAAGGTATCGGAAATTGATCAGAATCGGACTGGATCGGCAGTTTCATAGGGACATGTTGGTTCCCGATTCCAGTTATGGAACCGCCCACTCGGATCGGATCAGTATATATAAATTTTAAAACAAATTCTATGCTGTAGTATATATTGTGAAATCTGCTTATTTGATTTTACAAGAAGTAACATGCATGTACAGAATCCGGTGGTTTTGGAAACTGACAAGGGAAATTCTTATTAGATGCAGTGATGAAATGTTTCTTCGGAGAATGGTTATGTTTTGCTTCCCTTGAGAGTAACTTAGTCTCAATGTGTTCGCGTAGAATTTGTACTTTTTTTTTATTAATTACGTGATGAAATCGAATAAATACTCACATAAAAACTATGTTCATCATGATATTGATTGATGAATGCAATTTTGTAGGGATACTGTTGCCACTGAAACGATGCCTTCCAAGTAGCTAGGAATCTTCCCTAAGTTAATCACATGTAAACCATGTTTTCGCTTCTTCCTTGCCTTTTTAAGATTAGTAAGTGTGCAAAGGTAATCATCCTACTATACTGATGGGATCATAGCTAGAAGAAGGAAGCACACCAGATAAAGGACAACGTGTATCGTTTTGGTCCGGTTCTCGGGTGGGTCCAAGAAACCAACGGGCGGTTTTTGGTTCTAATTTTCGGAACTGGTCCATAGTGGGCAGTTCTTGATTCCAGGGTGGGATTCACCCACTTGGACCATACTCACCCTAGTAAATACCTACTTGATTTTGGTAATAAAAACTTGATAGGACAATGCATTTCCAATGCATTGGTTGCCCAACGATGCTCTTCAAAAGTCACTTTGGGATTGCATATTGTGAGATTTCATGGAACAACTACCAACTATTCACGTGATTTATTATTTACAAATTCTAACACTTGCTTTTCATGTGTAAGTTGAACTTTAGCCTAAGCCTAAAGCGCGGAAATTGGGGAGGTGAATTCGGGACCTTATGCTCAGTTGTCAGGCGAAAGGCGTGATTTATTGTTTAAATATTCTAATACATGTATATGTTTTAGGATTTTCAAAAGAGAGAGAAAGGGAAAATCAATAATTATTACCTCATTACTCAATTGACTTGACATTACACTTTATTAGAGAATAGTATTTATATACCCGAACAATATGCATATGAAAGCAAATAATCTAATCTAATAAGGAAATTGGCTATTTTAGAAAATAACTAAATATCAAGTGATATTTTAATATTAAACAATATCTCTAACAGTATTCTTTGATAGAGAAGTCTCTTTTTTCATAGATATACTTCAATATATACAAGCCAACGCAGCACACTGCTTACTAAGTTATTTATGAACCTTTAAGCAGATTTGAAGCAGATTGAGACAATCAAACACCTATCAGGAGCATTAGATGGAGATCGATCTGGTCACCCTTGGGTTGATCGTGAGTCCTTTCATTTGCCTAGCCCTATTGAAGTGGAACGAGATAAGGTACAATACAAAAGGCTTGTGTCACGGGTTGGTTGTTTAGGACCGGACTTGTGCGGCGATTTAGTCTTTCTTGGATCATTGGAGCGCTTAAGCCAAGCCTTTTCTTAATCGCTCACTCGTTTGCCCGAATTGTAGAGAGAGAAAGTTTAGAGAGAGAAGCTCTGGGAGAGAAGTGATTTCTATTGCTTTCAATTGTTAGATGGTTATAAATGAGAGAGAGGGCACCCCTTCTTATACTAGAGGCCCTCTAATTATATCTGTTGATCGAGATTCAATCAAGTGGCTGATATCGCATTTCCCCAGCTACCAACTATCGGCATTTATGCCAAGAATACTCTGGAACATGACACAATTACCATATTGCCCGTCCTTGGAAACATTCCGGAAGCTCATTAGGATTTGGACGAGTCTTTGTCAATATTGCACGATCCTTGGCGCATTGAAACCTCGAGATTGTGACACTTGCCTCTAGAAACATTGGGTTGGCCACTTTTGGGCGAAACCATAGCGTTCCTCAAAGAAGGACCGACCTTCATGAGTAAGAAGAGAGCAAGGTATGAGTTCTTACGTTGTTTTATTCGTCTCGGTTTCTATAGTGTCGTTGAGCATATTGAATGAACGTGAATATATACATTTGTAATATGGTGAGCGTCGAATTTTGGGGAGAAAAGTTTATGCTATGAGTGACCTGGGGTTCAACCTAGAAAAAAATCTCCGGCTTAAGGACTGATAACACCGAAAGTGTCCAATGTGAATTTTGAAAACCCGAACTTTTTTCAATCTCTGTTTGTTTTGTGGGAAAAGAACTTTGCAATATGACACTAGGATTGGACGCCGGATCCCGTGTCCAAGCACTGGGGACCCGGGTTGGCCCACCGGGCTTTGGCTGCTAGGCACCAAGGGTTGATAATTCGAGATGGATATTAAGTACCTTATTTTAAAAAATCTGGATCAATATAAGCTTCGTTTAAGTATATGAATGGTTATTAAGTTGTCGTTTAGCGTGTCTTCTTAAGATGACGTCATGTTAACAAACACAATGAAGTAGCTAGATGTTTCCGCATTTCTAATCGGACCAATTCCCTCCATCCGAATTGGCTATCTAAAACACCACCCCTCCCATTTACTTAGGTCGTTGTTCAGTTGTGATTGTGGAAACTCTTCTGCTCCATGTTCAGTTTTTCAATAAAAGTAATGCGTACTCCGACCAAAAAAGAAAACCCAAAGCTTTTTTCCTGAGTTGGGAAGAAGAAGCAGGGTGGTTGTCGATGCCATTATCTCTTCCAGATCACCATCGAAATATATGATATGACATTCCCAGTAATGAAAGTATCATATTTAATTTGAGTTGCATTTGGAAATATTAGGAAAAATTTCAAATAAGGGGCTGAAGGGGATGTTGTTTCAAATGAATATATGAAGTGCTATCATTTTCTCAAATAAAGGCTTAAAGTGCCATTATTTTATCATAAAAGGGTTTGACCTCACCAACTAATCAAGGGCATTTTCGTCATTTACTTTTTGCTTTTTTGTTTTCTTTTCGCATTTCGTTTTTTTTTCTCCGTTGCTGGCCAGCGACGGCCATCATTGGTCGGCGAAGGTCGCGATCCTCACCGGCCGTGAACGAGGCTAGCCCTAGCTTGTGGTCGTCGAGGGTGGCCTCTCCTATGGGTCGATGGTAGCCTTGCCTGGGCGAGGGTTGCTCTCGCTCAATTTGGCGAGGGTTGCCCTCGCCAGCCAGACATGGCCACGGGCCGATTTTGGCCCGGAACCGGCCCGGGTCAAACCCGGAACCGGCCCGTTAACCGGGCCCGCGGTTCGGAACCGGAACCGGCCCGTGGCCTACGGGCCCGGTTCCAAAAAAAAAAAAAAAAAAAACTAACTGCTGCTGCAGTCTGCAGCAGCAGCATCTTCTCTCTCTCTCTCTCTCTCTCTCTCTTCGCGGTTCGAATTCGATCGAAGAGGAAAACCCTACCTTCCTCCCTTTTCCCCCCTCCGGTGATCCGCCCATGGTGAAGAAGAGGAAGTCCGTCGCGTCCCGCCTCGACGAGGTGGACCGGAGCCTCTACTCCTCCTTCTGCAGCGCCGCCAACTCCCTCTCCCAGCTCTACACCCAGGCCATGAACCACCAGCGCCTCTCTTTCCAGGCCGGGGAGCGTTCCCACCCCCAGATCTGACCCCCTGCGCCTGCGCCTCCTCCGGTCCTCCCTTTTTCTCCTCCGCCCGCCCCCATCTTCCCAGATCTGACCCCCGCCGCCGTCGCCGCCGTCGCCCCCGCCCATGGCCGCAGCCACCGACGTCCCCTCCTCCTCCCCCCTCGTTACCCTGCACCTCCTCCCCTTTTCTCCTCCTCCCCCTTCGAACCGGAACCGGCCGGAACTGGAACCGGCCCGGAACCGCCGGTTCATACATGGCCACGAACCGGAACCGTGGCCATGACTATCGCCGGCCACTGGTGAAGGCCGATCCTCGCCAGATCTGAGCGAGGGTCACCTCTCTCCCAGCTAGCGAGGGCCTAGGCGAGGGAACCCTCGCCAGTGGTCGGTCGAGCCCTCGTCTAGTGGCTAGCAGGGGTTGTCGAGCCCTCACTAGCTAGCGATGGTCGGTAACGGAGAAAACAAAAGAAATGGGAAAAAGAAAAAGGAAAAAAATAAAAATTTAAAGGAAGAAAATGCGCTTGATTATTTGGTGAGGTTATGCTCTTCTTTGAGGAAATAATGGTACTTCAGGCTCTTATTTAAAACAAGGTTCACTTCATGCCCTTATTTGAGAAAATAAGAGCATTTCAGGCTCTTATTTAGAATTTTCTCGAAAAATTATGCACAAAAATAAAAAAAAAAATTTACATACCAAATTACAGATTTGACAAAAGTTCAGTAGTTTGGACATTATTATCGAGCTTAATCTCAAGTAAAAAACGGATTCCACACATTTTGTACCCTCGATTGGCTACCAAAATCTTGAAAGTACACATTCTACATTAGACAATCTCTTCATAAATAGTCTGTCTCAAACACGCTGTTGCTTTTGCTCATTGCACCCAAAGCAGATACAGAACGAAGCCAAAGGACTCGTTCCTGGTTACCCACAATCCGATTTGGAAATACTTGGGAGATCCAACATTGCCACTGTGGATGGCGCCACTCACAAGCGCATGAGAGGGGCATATCTAGCTCTCTTAGGGCCTGCAATGATGAAGGACAATAATCTGCTGTGCAAAATCGTTAAGAACATGAGATTTTTCACTGATCACCGGGAAGGGAGGACTCTTGATATTCAAGAGAAAACCAAGGAGGTAATCTGGTAATTCG